AAGCATGAAAACAGCATCGCCGGATTCCGAACTGCTCTCGACTACTCAAAGCAAGCGCTCGCGGCCGCTCCCGCAGACCTCAACTCTCAGTTCAACGTCGCCTTCGTCCAGTTCCAGATCGCCACCCGCATCTACCAGCTCACCGAACAACAGCGCACGCTCGAAGACGTCGACCAAGCCGTCACAGGTCTCGACGAGGCGATTGAAACACTTGAGAAGCTCACCAAGGAGGAAAACCCGCCCTTCCCACGTGCCGACATTACCGCTCGTGCAAACATGGGTCGCAACACCATGGTCAAGCAGCTCGAGCGTACCCGCGAGAAGCAAGCCGCCTACGAAGGCGAAAACGCAACCAAGCTCGACCAAGCGCGCCGCATCCGCGAAGCCGAAGTGCGCCGCCGCGAGGAAGAAAAGGCACGCGCAGAAGCAGAGGCCCTAGAGAAGAAGCGCAAGTACGCAGAAGAGCAACAGCGCCTCCTCCAGCGCGACCGCGAACTCATGGAGAAGCGCAACGAAGAAGAGCGTCGCCGCATGGAAGAAGACGAAGACAAGGAAGTCCGCAAAGCAGAGCGCAAAGCACGTGGACCCAAGGGCCCGAAGCGCAAGAAGAAGGACGCCGACTCCGACACCGACGGCCTGCCTTCTGACGACGACGAGCCACGCTCAAGGCGCAGACGGACGACAGCCAGTGGCACCGAGGACCTATCCGACGAAGAGCGGCCCCGCGAGAAGAAGAAGAGGAAGCTCGCCCGCAAGAGCGAACCAGTCGGTAAATACAAGTCCGCGGAGTTCATCGACGATGAGAGCGACGAGGATGGTGCCGTGCCCGCTGAAGACGGAGACAAGGCTGATGGCACGGCGGGCAGCGACGACGAAGGTGCCGCAGCTGCTGCGCCTCGTCCCCGCAAAGCCCGCGTCGTCGACGATGAGGATGAAGACGATGACGCTATCGCCGCCCCGAAAGCTAATGGTGACACCGCCATGGACGATGATGAGGATGAGTAGCGTTATCGCTTGTCGTTCCATGGCGAAGGCCAACAGTCTTGGAAAAAGTATCACCATCTGGCGTTCGTTTGAAGTTATCCGTCTAATCCTTTTTTCTTGTTGCCTCTTATTCTTCCTTTCTTCTTAGTTCTTGCATCAGCGCTACGGCGTCTCCGGGGGGAGGCAGACAACGGGGGAATCATATCATCAGCTCCGTTTTATCGTACGGCACTACTAAAATTTGTATACCACCACATGCAGGGGCGGGGGCTTATAGAGATGCAATTGAAAGTAAAATGTACAATACGACTGCTTTGTATGATTTGCTTGCTTTGGTGCTGATGACAATTTCTTTAAGCTGCACGTTAATCTAGGCATATCCTGAAGACCCTGACGCCTACATCAAAATAAAACCACGCAGAGTAGGTGGCCCAGGGTCAACGTAGGCTCCTGGGTGTTCAGTTTTTCTACTAAACAGCCCATTCGTCCTTGTCGTCCGTTGCGGTGATGAAAGGTTCATTGACGAGCTTAACGGCAAGTTCACCACATAACACACTAAAACACGTTGTTAGCACAGCAAACAAGAAAACAGCACCTCATACAAGGGAAAAACTGAACAAGCCTGCAGCCTACATCGACATGGAAACCTGCAAAGTAGGTGCCCCAACGTGGATGTAGGCTCCGGACCTATTCAGGTTTTCCCGAAATTGAGGTGACAGCAGAAAGGGAAGACTCACCAACTACTCCCAACCAACGCATCCAACTCCCTAATCGCCCTCTCCCTCCCCTTCCCCACCTTGACCCCCCTCTGCACCTCCGCCTGCAACTCCGCAATCCTCTTTCCCCTCGCAATGCCCGCAAGCTCAACGACCCTCTTCGCAAGACAATCACTATGAAAAGCATGCTGGCACGGAAACACAAAGAACTGCCTCGCCAACAACGGCAACCCACACACATAGCACCTCTCCCCGGGTTCCACAATCGCATAACGCTGTTCGAGGGCTTTGATATCCGACTTGATATGCGTAGCCGTCGCCTCACTGTCATCCATCTCCTGCTTCAAGCCATCAATCTTGTGGCTGTAGTCTTCGAGGGCGGCGCAGATTTCCTCTTTGAAATCGTCGATGACGACGAAGTCTGGGAAGAAGGGGATGAGGTCTTCGATGCGGAGGAGGTCGACGCGGCGGAGGAACTCGATAGCGGTTTTTATGCCGCTGGATTGCGAGATGACTTTTTTGGCGATGGCGAGCCAGAGTTTTTTGCGGAGAACAGGGGAGGTGTTGGAGCGGTCGGCGACGCTAGAGGCGAGGTCTATGGAGTCGTATTTTAGGGCAAGGTCGACGGCTTGTGCGTACTGTTGCATAGAGCTGTAGATGTGTACGCAGGATTGGACGCGCTTGTGTTGGATGCAGAGGCGGAGAGCGAAGTCGGCGTCGTAGTTTTGTTCGTGGGCGAGGGATTGGCCTTCGAGGTAGGCGAGGAGGGCGGATTCGTCGGTTGTGGGGTGGGAGGCGTAGATGGAGATGAGGGTGTTGTGAATGGCGGCGTCGGTTGAGTTGTGTTGGTTGATCTCGAAGAGAAGGTAGCGGACTGCTTGGTTTTGGTTCAGCGTGGCCTTGGTGTGGTTGTTGTAGTTGAGGAATGCTGGGATGAGCTTCTGCGCGTCGAAGTTCGAGTGTCGCATCATCACATCGACGAGCTCGACTGGTACGTGGGCCATGAGCACAGAGCTGTACTTGTAGAAAATCTCGGGATCTGTCTGCTTCTTGAGGACGTCCAGAGATTCTTGCCAACGCTCACGCTGCACCCAGTACGAGAGTACGTAGTTGTAGTCGTTGACCACAGTAGCAAAGTAGAGCAGCTCTTCCTCTCGACCGTGACTGCTGATGATCTCGTATACAGTCTTACGGTCAAGATCAGCCTTGTACTTGGTTACAAAGTCTTGATACTCTTTCCGGATGACTGATAGTTGATCATGAGTCTCGGCGGTGTTCATGCTCTCTGAGAGTTCTGCTTTCGTGGTAATGGTGTCATCGAGAGTATTGAGCTTGGCCATGTATAGTTCAATCAACCAAGTAGCGACCATAGTCCGTTGCATTATCGATGACTTCTTCAATGTGGACAGTTTCGTCACCAGGTACTTCCGTAGCGCGTCCTGCTCGCCATTGTCGATGAATGTCAGCGCGACTTGCTCAAACGGCTTCGTACTTCGTCCGTAAACAGTCGCAGCCTCCATCCACTGGCTCTTGCCAACAAGGTAGTCACCAGATGCCGTTGCCACTGCATCCTTCTGCGCTGGTGTTTTGGCGTACTGCGATGCAGCCTCGAATTGTTGTGCTCGGAGCATGATCTTCCAAACATCGCGACTCTCGTCTTCGACAACGATCTCGAAGATCTCCTGGCTCGTGAAGAGCCAGTAAGTATTCCTCTTCCAGTCCGCTACCAGACCAAGCGCACTTTGTCCGGGCTCCAGCACAACTTGGTCATGGACAACAGTGTCGTCGAGGCGGTTGATAGCTACGACTCGGCCTTCGACTAGCTGAAGAATATGCCACTGGCTCAGTATCATCGAACTGATAGGATCTTGTGTCCGTCGTGTGCGCCCGCTAGCGGTTTGTGAAGGCGGCACCTGTGATCTAGGCAACATCTTTGAGTCTCCAAGAACTTTGCCGCCAAGCTCAGGAGTATCCTGTGATAGATACAGCTTCCCATGCAAAACGCCTTGTGATGTAAGCCAGCCGAAGATCCTCTCGGCGTTGGAGTCCTCGCGGCTTGGGCTGTCGTTGTGCTCCGGGGAGATAGCAAGCAGCGAGGCTGCCGTGGGGGCGACATTGGAGACCTCATGTACGGTCGCAGATTCGCTCTCGAACAGCTTCGAGAATATAGATCCGCTTCCCTCTGATCCCTGACGTCCGACCTTGCCAGCGAAATGTAGGAAAGTCGAAGGTGTCGCGACGATGATGCGCCGCAGATCCGTTCTCCCGGGCACCGTATCTGTCCACAGCCCAGTAATAGGGCCATCGTTCGTCCGGTATACGCTCTTCAAGTATCTATCAAGCTGTTAGTACGAATAATAAGATGTCTTAGAACCGCGTTGCCAAAGCATAGCATAGGAGATACATACTAGTAAAAAGTTAGCAAGATATTTTAAGAACTATCCGTGGCAGCTACGTTACCCTCTCCTCCCTCCTGTAGAACTCGGATGACGGCTCGATATACACCTCGTAAACGTTGCCGTCTGACGCTCCCACGAGTATCTCGCGCGTCGAAGCAGTGGGTTGCGAGGGGTTCCACGAGATACTCTCTATGACAACGCCCTTCAGCCGTGACAACGCCTTCGGTGTCCGGGATTGTGTATGGAGGTAGTAGTTTTCGGCGAGGGTGGTGGTTATGATGAGGTGGGATGCGGAGGGATCGAGAAAGAGGCGTCTGATGACACCCACTTCTGAAGGCTTCTTCGGGAGGTCGATATCTTGTAATATATGAGCGGTTGTCCAAGTCTTTCGGGTGGTGTGTGCATTGCTATACGAACCGTCTATATCTGCGGGACTGTCCAAATCGATGCGTAAGATGCGCCCGGTGGACAGAGCCAGGACGACGACATTATTTGCTACTGCAGCCGCTACGAAGTCGGAAGATACTGTGAATTGTAAAGCCACGCGCTCTATGCTGAACATGGGGCCCGAGGCGTCCTCCTGCATGTTGCTTGTGCTGGGCGGCGCATAACCGCTCGAGGTGTCGTAAGCCATGGTGGGCTTGGGATGTAGCTCTCAGCTATCGTGGGCTCGTAGTCATTGTTTGCGCGATCACCCGCTGTCTCAGTGCTCCTTCTCACTCTGCTGCGGCTTCGGCTGTAGCTGTTGGCGCACCTGCTTGGTGGTGACGGTGACGCCTAAGCTTGGAGCTTGGACTTCGGCGATGGAGCGGAGATAAGCCGGCGTTGGCGTCGCGTCATGTGAGTTCGCGTTTGGCACTCGATTGACCTTGTCCTACAACCCCACTTCTCTAGACCATCAATGAAAGGTAGATCTCTAATACTTTGCAGGCAGCTGCAAGACTGATCACGGTGGAATACGGTGTGTACATGGGAATTACTGAACGTCTGCAGCACAGGACCGCGCATTCACGATGCCATGGCGGTGGAACCCTCCTGCTACTGCGCCTTCCCTTCGCACCACGATTATTTGATCTCGATCTTCGTTGCCTTAGTTTTTCGGTTTCTCGACCTCCGAAACTGACAACTTTGCCTCTCAACCGCTTCAATTCCGCAGCACCCTCAATCAATTCCTAGGCACGCATCATGTAGAGCAACCCCTCAATTAGTCTTTACAGTTACTGACAAGATCAGGGATCTCGGAAGCGAAACGGTACGTGTGACCGTGGGCGCCAATAAAACACACTTCATATTTCACAAGAACCTCCTCCGCCGGCACTCTGAGTACTTCTCTCGCGCATTCGGACCCAACTTCAAAGAAGGCAGAGATGGCGTCTTGCATCTTCCTGAGACTCATGAGCAGATCTGCGGCCTCTTTCAGACTTGGGTCTACCTTCAGATGGCTCGTTCGCCTCCAGGTCTTAGTGAGGTGAAAGCCTTATTGAGCCCTTCAGCGCGCATGACCCGATCTTTGAACGCTGATGTTTCATCTCACACGCGTAAAAGGATGAAAGAGACAAATGGTGTGGAATCAGATGCTGCTTTCGGCTCTACTAACGAAGTTTTGGCTTGTCTCATCCATCTCTATCGCTTTGCGGATGCATACGAGTGCGTCAGATTGCGCAACGACGTTATCAGCGCCTTCAGCGACATCGTGAAAGATGGGATGGTTCCCAACCCCGAAACCATTGCTTTCGTGTTCGACAAATTACCTCCTTCTTCTACCATTTGTCAATACTTCGTCAAGAGCGCTGCGCTGAATTGGGGCCAATACTTGGGCGCTCACCGAGCGCTACTCGATGCTGCACAGCTGCCCCAGGACTTCTTAGTAGAAGTTGTGCACATCAACCACAAGCTTGCAAGCAAAGGCAAAGGAATGGATGCATTACGCAAGGAGATACAAGATCGCTGTAACTTCCATGAGCATGCGACCGAAGATGAAAAGCAGCTGTGTAAGTCAAGACTGCTTCAGGACGAGCCGTTCATAGACGCTCTTATCTCCGCGTGCTTGGAGGCCTCTAAAGACGAGCGGACGACATGATTGATCATGTCAGCGGTTGTGGCATGCAAGTTTCCTCGAGAGTGGAGCCAACTACTGGATGTTGACGTGTTTAGTCAAGATTGCCCTAATCTTTGTCGGTCTACAGCTATAACACATCTGTTTAGGACTTCTCGTCATCTCTTTTCCTTTCTTAATAAATCCGACCCAGTCTCAAAATTCTTCAGCTGTTACCCTTCAATATGACATCGGCAATACGCTGTTTACTCTCCTCATCATCTCCACTCCCCTGGCCCACACGTCAGCAGACATCCTCAACATCATCAGCGCATCACGACCTACCGTCAAAAACACCTTCCGAAACTCATCCTCCTCCAGATCAAACCAATTCGTGATATCCCTATGACTTCTATCCCACGGCCACTTCTCATAAAGCCTACGAATAACACCCTGATACACCTTAACCCTATCAAACCCAGCAGCGCGCAAGCGATAAATACTCGGCGCAAACGCCTTCAACAAACTTCGCAGGACAGGCCACAGCGGGGGCTCGAGGTGATAGTCTTCATCAGCTGCATGATGATCTATCTGGAAGATGATTACCATGTCTTTGTTAGTCAACCTAAGAAGGTTCTCGAGATCAGCTACAACACGCGAGCTGCCACCCCAAATCTGATCCCAGCTGAGATCAATGCGTATGTATCGGATGATATCGGCAGGCACGATTCCTCTTTTCCAGACATCTTGCGTGAGGAAACTTCCTAGCAAGCAAGCACCCGGGGTGTACATTATGAAGCCGCCAGTGCGGTACCAGTGCTCTGCTATCTCTTTCGCAACTGTTTCCCCTGTATACTCGGAGTATCTCCACAAATCGCGACGCATGGCAGGGTCTTCGGGTAGAGGTGTTTGAGCGTCGAAGAAAGATCGGCCACCGTGATCGTGGTGGAAACATCGACTTGAGCGTATTCCAGTGTCTACCTCACGGCAATCAACAACGTAATGTTGCCTGCGGGGAGTGATAAGCTGATCGTAGACCATGTCCCTCAATTCGCGAGGAAGGGCTGCGCGGAAAGCTGTACAGAATTCCAGCTGAGATTGGCGATGTTCTTCGTGGAGTGCAAGTAAGCGGGTCGGGCTGTTGTTGTTCGGTTAGACGTATGTTCTTACGTGGAGTGGGTGAAGCGTACTCAACTGGATCAGGTTTGGGATCAGGTTTCCGACGTTGAGGTGTCCTACTTGCAGTCAGTCGTATATTACTATACACGAGACCTAGACCGTTTAACATACATCCGCCGCTTCAGTGCGTGTAAAGAGTCATGATGACCGATTTTCATTGCGGATCAGTAGCTAATGAAACAGACTGTCAGTCCCAAGCGAAGTTATTGGGATTTGGTAAGCACAAGATGTAACCAATGTTCATCTTCAATTTTAGGGGCGCGAGCGCCTCTTATCCCCAGAGACGAGAAGATAATTGTGGCGGAGTCATCAACTTGCAGGCAACAAGACGCGAAGGAACACGACGCTAGTCCGGACGCGTACCTGGGTATCAGCCAACCGAGGCTGCAGCAGACATACATCAAGTCGTACGAGTTATGAAATCATGCATAGCTTCATTCCATAAGGCTACTCAAAGCTCTGCCTGCCTAACAATTCTCTAATAGAGACCCCTACACCCTCTCCGAGTACACACAGCGCACAATGTCCACGAGCCCAGCGATTGTTCAGATGCTGAGATCTGCCGTCAACGCCCAGTTTTCCTGCCACAACATTAGAAGAGGCATTCTTACTGTATCCTGATCACTGACAGCCTGGATTTCTGGAGCTTGCGACTCTTCTCTCTCTCTCTCTCTCTCTCTCTCTCTCTCTCTCTCTCTGGTTCCTTCCTACGAGTACGGTATACGTTTCGGTAGCCGTGTGCGTCTCGTCATCAATGTCCCATCACGGTACCATCGCCTCCGCCGTCATCCCCACATCTCTCCTTCATCCACCCAATCCTGAGCATCTACCGAACCATATTTGGTCTTTTCGTGGTAGCCCGACCGCGTTGAACCAAGCACGCCATATAAGCAAAGAAAACGTAAAATGTAACGTGTCTTTAATCATTCATCAGCAACGGTACATAACAGCGCTAGGGTATCCGCATTTTCCAAACCTCCCCAACACCACCCCATCTACGCGCGTTCAAAATCCCCGCTTCCTCTCATCCTAAACCCGGTACTAATCCTCTCAATCGGATTCTGCCTCTCAGCCCTATCCACACTCAACCGGTTGGCCATCGCAGTCGTGCCATTCAAGCCATTCGTAATCCTCACAGCACCCTTCTCGGGACTCCTTCCCGTACTGCGACTAGCAACAGGAAGCAGCGAGCCGCCATCACCCCAGTGATTCGCTCTCGCACTGCCGAGATAGCTTTCGATGCTGCGCCTGCCGTCGGGGCGGTATGCCGTACTACGCCCGCGACTCAAAGCCTGTTCAATAGTGCGTGTATCGAAGGGGTACTCAAAGTCAGTCTTCTCGATCCCGCTATAAGCGTCGTTGAAATCATGCCGGCTCTGCCGATTCTGGGCCTTGCGCTCGCGGAAGCGGCGCTTGACTTCGCGGAAGAAGTCTCCGATGGCGTCGAATGAGAGCGCGATGGCGATGAACGGGATGGAGATGGCGAAGCCGATGCCGAACATGTATTTGCTGACGAATGAGAGAGGAAGCGAAGGCTCGTCGCTACCGGGCCGGTGCGGAAATTCTTGGATATTGATTGTGAACATGGCTGCGATGAAGGATAGGGGAAGGAAGATGATTGTGACAATGGTAAACACCATGATGGTCTGGCTTTGTCTTGCAGTACCGGCAGCTTGGTCGCGAGCGAAGCGTGCCTCGAATGCGTTGGCGTGCTTCTGCTTTAGATCGAGTAGGTCGGTGATGGATTCGTAGATGCGCTTGGCTTGCTTGTCCATGCGTTCGAGATCCTTGATATGTGTGTCTACTGTCTTGTGCATATCCTTGAATCGCTTCTTGAGATCCTGTTGACTCTTGTGCTCTTCACGATATATGTCCGTGATGCTTGTCTCCATGTCCGGTAGTATGGTGCGTTGATCTTCCAGCACCTTTGAAATCATGTTGAGTTCGTCGCGAATGTCTTTCGTCTCAGCCAGCAAGTCTGTCTCAGCGCCGATGTCTAGTAATTTATCAACAAAGAGCGGGGCATGGGCGGCCGTTCGATCGCTGTCATCGTAGTCAAATGCCTCTTCCGGCACTGGAGGGTCAGTCAACGCGTGAGAGTGGGAATGTGAATGATGCGATGTGTGCCGTCGATTCAGGTGCTCTCTTTGCCTTCCCTCAGCCTCCAAATGTCGCGAAAAGCGATTGGGTCGGCGGTGATGTTGTAGCCAAGCCGAGGCCTGGGCGGACGCTGTGTTGAACTCTTTGAAAAGCATAGTTTCCATCTCAGTAGCATCACCGATGCTTGATTCGAACATGTCGAGGAACTGATAGTCTTCGTCGCCAACACGATGTCTGTCAAACACGCCACTACACCGACCGGTGATGATCATGGCAAGATCGTACACACTACGCACCGGATCTCTTGTCTTGCTATTGATGTCTTCAATGACTCCATCCAGGACGTTGAGCGGGTCGTTACGAGGCTGCTGCCATCTTTGAGGGAAGGCCGTCACGATCAAGTCTTTGCCAAGCGTCCACATCCATAGCTGATCGACCATGAAGATCTTTGGGTCAACATGTTGCGGCTCGTTCGACTTGCATTGATATCGATAGACAACTTGGTCTCGATCTCGGGATTGCGTGTCGATATTGTGATAGAAGAACTGGTCGAGCGTGCGTCGCACGTGCAGCGAAACTTGTGAGGATGTCAAGTGAGCCCTGAACAGCATCTCGTCATAAGTTGATGCGCGGTAATACTGTGGCTTGGAAGTGCCACCCTCGTTCTTCTCCCGCTCTTTGATCTTCTGCGTCCTCGAGATCGCCGCCTGCATTTCTTGCCGCCGCCGATCGGTTTCAAAATGTAGGTATGGCATGAAGGCAAAGATGTTGCCTTTCGCTACGGCTGTTGGGTCTTTTCTACCCGGGCTGCCGGGTGACCTGAGATGGCCGCTATTGTTGAGAGAGGAGCTAGTATGCGTTCGTTTCGCCTGGTGTTCTGGACCTCGAGTTGGTGTGTCCGTCCCACCTGATCGCTTGCCTGCTTGTCTCGATCCACTCCACTTCGGTTGCTTCTTCGATTTGTCCTTCGCCTTACTCTTTCCTTCCTTAACAGTCGTAGGTCCGGAGCCCGTTCCTGCAGTCCCATCCGTATAGTCTGTATCCACGGTACTGGTCCGCACAGGCGTGCGAGGAAATTGCGACGTTGGCAGTTCTTGTGAACCAGCTACCGCATCGATACCTAAGCCCATACCGCTATTCACCAGAATCTGGGGGATGAAATCAGCGCCGTCGGAAAGGTCGGAATCATCGTGCTGTTTTGGTGCACGTGGTGTGCTTTGACACAGCGGTCGCATGAAATGCGAATGAATCTGCTGACCTCGATGCTGATGACTGAAGGACCGTTCGAGCGCCTTGAAGCCCTCCACATCACTGGCACCCTCCTCGATGAAGGCCTTCGTGAGCAGCGCCTCAACCCAGGCCATGTTGTTGGCAGGGAGATGTATCCATCGGAAGTTTGTCGCCTTTGACTCCTTGGGCAGAATCGCAACAGCTGGCTTTCTTGGGTTGATGGGATCGCGGCCATACAGCAGCTCGAAGACAGTCCTTCTTGAGACCTTGTTTTCGTTATGGAAGTTGCCAAAGTCAACGATCGTAGCACGGAACCCGTTTGTAGCGCCAAGGGCGTCTTCGCTGAGCGCTTCGACCTGGTTGTGGGGTGCCAGAGCATTGATGATATCTTTGCGCGCAGGTTTCTTGCTCTGCGCAGCGCGCAAGAATGGCGTGATACCAAATGTATCCTTCGGCGCTCGTTTGATGTCTCCCCTTTCCAAAAGACACTTGACTACGTCAAAGTGACCAGCTTGCGCCGCAACGTGTAAAGGTGT